GGGCTTCTGCGGTTCTGCTTGTGGGTTTGGCAGAAGGAGGAGGAGATGATTGGGTTTATACCCCGCCCTTCACTACCCGAAGGAGTCTCAGAGCGGCTCACAATCTCCTTTCCCTTCCCCTCCCCACAACAGACACCCTGTGAGGCGGGTGGGGCTGAGAGAGCTCTGAGAGAACTGCTCTGAAAGAACTTGTGACTGACTGCTTTTAACCTAAGGAACATTTTATTGGGAACAGTTGGCTGTACAATCCCAGGAGAATATACAGTTGACCGGAGAGAAGTACTACTGGACATGTGATTGCACTGGAGGCTTCATTTGTATTTTTGTATCTCTTTTCTTTGCCCAGTGGTTAAACTTTGGAACAATTGGTTTCTGGTCTGTATTCCATATATGTATGATTGTATGTATTTTTGCATACCAGCCAACATGTTCTGTCTGTATTAGACCTCTGAGGAAGGCCTGTAAAGGCCGAAACGCGTCAGGTCTATCTTATTAGCCCTTGTATGTTTTTATATTTGTATATGAGGTAGGAATGGGCCCTTGTTTGTTATTTTAATTTATGTTGAATAAATACATGTATATTTTTGTATATTTCATAATTAGATTTTTAGAGTTGGCCCTCTTCTATTCTTGACCCAAGGTCACACCAGCAGCTGCACGTGGAGGAGTGGGGAATCAAACCCAGCATCTGGTAGCCCAGAAATGCGATGCTGGACAAGACGAGACCTTTGGCCAATCTTCAGCTGTTCTTAAACTCTGCACAAAGTGCCACCCTAGACAAAGTCACACCTTCCTACAATGACGCTAATCTCTCGGCTAGTGCAAATGCTTCACTGAGGAGCAAGCCGGCATGTTCGCAGTGGCCACACTGACTAAGAAGTATGCATTACTACTAGTCAATCTCTGAAATACAAGCAAGGAACCTGATGTAACTATGATTTAAATCAGTGTTTCCCCTTCCCAAAGCAAGCATGCTTAAGAGTATCAGACTAGGCCCTGGGACACCCAGATTCAAATCCCCATTTGGAGAGCATCCAGTCCTTTAACTCACTTCACCCTGGAAACATTTCTTTCCACCCCAGCTAATCCCAAGTTAGGTGGCACTTGACCTTAAATCCCGCCAGCTCCCAAGATGGCCCCTGCAGCATCCAACCGGGCATGGACCAGGCACACCAGAGCTCTCAGCCAGGTGTAAAGAGGAGTGGCAAAGACTCAGCGTTGTCATCAGTCACCCCAGGGGCCCCCGGCCTCACCTTCGTGTGCAGCAAGTACTGGATCACTCCCGGCACCGGATCTCTCACCACGGCTGTGAGAAGCTCATCTGAAAGAGAGGCTCCCTGCACCGGCAGGCCTTTCAGGAACCTGGGTGGAGGGAAGAGAAGCAGGGCTCAGGGCAGGATCCAGCCCACCCCCTTGGGAGGGGCACAACCATCGCAAGAAACGCAGCGACTGCCGGGCTCACTTACGGGCCTCCGTTGTCCTCCGGAGGGAAGCTGCGCTTGATCACCTCGACAAGCTCACCCACCGTGTCTTCCAGAGCAAAGAGAACCGCATTCGGGCCGGCGTCGAAGGTATAGCCCACCTGCAATCCAGCCCAGGGGTCAATGAAGTGCTCACCAAGGCTTCTGTTTAGATCAGAGGTTCCCAAACTTATTTGGCCTACCGCCCCCTTTTTAGAAAAAAAATTACTCAGCACCCCCCTGGAAATCTACCTTCAGGAAGTGGACAAAAAGATGCAGTGACAAATTTGCACATAGTAAAGACCCCATTGGCTCTGTGCCAGGTTTCCCTTCCAGGTCAGTCTAAACAATAGCAATACTAGGTAAACAAGTTAACCCTATAATGACTGGATTGTCAGACCTTGTAAACACATACATTTCCAACAGTGGGGACCCCTCTCCACCTCCACCTCCCTCCCTGATCCCAGGGAAGACCCGGAGAAGGCAGGAAAAGGCTGCTTTAGATAGGCTCTGGACTGTTCTTTCTTATGCTTCCACCGCCCCCTTATTTTTATTCAACGCCCCCCCCAATTGCACCCAAGGCTCCTACCGCCCACCTGGATTGTTCCAGTGCCCCCCAGGGGGCGGTACTGCCCCCTTTGGGAACCAGTGGTTTAGATAAATAAGCCCTGGGAGATGAGACGCCCCCTTTTTGATGCCATACTTCATTAAACTACGGTATTTATATCCTGCCTTCTCCCAAAACTTAAACACGCCACAAAGTCAATCCACCCAGAGGCATCCTTAAAAGCCCTTTCAAACAGGAACAGACTTAAGCAGCTGACTGTCCCTACATCCTGTGGCCGTGAGTTCCACACGCTACGTCACGTGTTGAGGCAAGTCCAACTTTTGTTTGACTATCCCAAATCTACTATCCTGTCCCTATCTTGAGTTCTAGTAACATGACGGCGGGAGAAAGAATACTATTCCTCTATGCCATATAGGAGGAGCTGCGGTGGCTCAAGTGGTTAAGACGCTGAACTGCAGGCTGTGGAAGGTTGGTAGTTCAGCAGTTTGAGACCCAAGTTGCCGCATGACGGAGTGAGCTCCCGTCTCTAGTTCCAGCTCCTGCCAACCTAGCAGTTCGAAAGCAAGGAACTGCAAGTAGATAAATAGGTACCACTTCGGTGGGAAGGTAACAGCGTTCCAGTGTTTAGTCATGCCGGTCACATGACCACGGAAACGTCATCGGACAGCGCTGGCTCTTCGGCTTGGAAACGGAGATGAGCACCGCAACCCTAGAGTCCGACTCGACTGGCTTTTGAGCAAGGGAACCTTTACCTTTTACCTATGCCATAAAGGACTTGATCTCACCTTACAGTGAAATTCTTGACCAAAAGCTCCCCCCGTTCAGTCAACCAGAGTCTTCCCTCTCCAAGCGGCCTCCTGTTCTGCATGAGGGGAGGGCCCCAGATGTTCCCGCACACCCCAATTGCGGGCGCTGCCCTTCCAGCCCCGCCTCTAACCTTGGTTTTGCCGTGGTGTGCGTTGAAACGGTGCACCAGGGAGATCACTTGCTTGGAGACGTCATTGAGGTAGAAAATGGGCGGAAAGGTGTCCAGGCAGGTGGCGTGGAACTGGTTGCTGTCTTTCATCGTGAGCTCCGCAAACGCCTCAAAGTCACACCGCTGGATGTGTCGGGCCATTTGCGCCATGCGCTCTGGAACCACGGCCTCTGCACGGTGCTGGAAGAGAGGGGGCCGATACGCATTAGATCGTACCCCTGCCCTCCTTGATAAGGAAGAGCTCCCTATAAAAACCTTCAATAAGGCCAAAAACAAAAGGGAAAATACACAGAACACAAAACAAACTGGGTAATGGAGTAGCAGACACACCATAAACATGTAAATTAATATAAATATCATATCGTACTGAAAACATCTCCTTTGGAGGTTTGATATATTTTGTTGGAGATGTTTTCAGTATGATATGATATTTATATAAATTTACATGTTCAAGGTGTGTCTGCTACTCCATTACCCAGTTTGTTTTGTGTTCCCAATAAAACCTTCAGCAAGGGGGGGGGGGAATAATACATCACTCTCTTTCAAAATCCAACAGAAAAGTCAGCTGAGTTTGATAAGTGGGAGAAAAAAAAATTTCCCTGGAGTAAGTAACCTGTGGAAATACTGGCTACAAGATGTGGCAACAATCGGTAGCAGAAGCTGACTTGTTATAAAAAGAACAGGAGGTCACAGAGCAAATGCCTACTAACATCCGCTTGCTTCGAATGGAAGCTCCATGTTGCGAGCTAGACTGCCTCTGAACAGCAGACGCTTGGGCCTGAACGAGAGGGATTGGTGATCTCCGCTTCGTCTTGCTTGCACACTCCACCCAGGGGCACATCAGACAGGCCGTTGTTAAGAATGCCGGATGGCCTCACCCTTTGTGGCACATCTTCTGCTCTTAAGACTTTGTCATGCACAATACCTTGATGTAGCAAGGCTATTGCATTAAGGTTAACGAACTTTACTGTAGCGTAAGCTTTCGAGAAACACAGCTCTCTTCGTCAGAAGCATCTGACGAAGAGAGCTGTGTTTCTCGAAAGCTTATGCTACGATAAAGTTTAGAGTCCAGAGTGGCATCTTTCAGACCAACAAAGGTTTTATTCAAGATATGAGCTTTCTTGTGCAACGCACACTTTTTCAAATACAGTGGAATGGGAGGTAAGGTTCCACTGTATTTGAAAAAGTGTGCTTTGGACACGAAAACGCATACCTTGAATAAAACCTTTGTTGGTCTGAAAGGTGCCTGTTGTTGTTCAGTCGCACTGTTGAGTCCGACTGTTCGCGACCCCATGGACCAGATCCCGCCAGGCCTTCCTGTCTTCTGTCGTGTTCTGGAGTTTGGTCAATTTCACGTTCGTTGCATCTATGACACTGTCTAACCATCTCATCCTTTGCCGTCCCCGTCTTCTTTGACCTTCAATCTTTCCCAGGATCAGGGTCTTCTCCAGGGAGTGCTCCCTTCTCATTGGGTGGCCAAAGTATTTGAGCTTCAGTTTCATGATCTGGCCTTCCAGGGAACAGTCAGGGTTGATTTCTTTTAGGATTGACTGATTTGATCTCCTTGCAGTCCAAGGGACTCTCAAGAGTCTTCTCCAGCACCATAGTTCAAAAGAATCTATTCTTCGGCGCTCGGCCTTCCTTATAGTCCAACTCTCGCAGCCATACATGACTACTGGGAATACCATTGCTTTGACCATGCGGACTTTTGTTGGCAGGGTGCCTGACTGGACTCTAAATTTGTTCGACTGCTTCAGTCCAACATGGCTACCCCACCTGACAATAAAATTTGTCAGTCTTAAAGGTGCTACTGGGCTTTTTACTATTTTGCAGCAACACACTAACACGGCTAACTCCTCTGCATTAAGGTTGTTGTGGTTGTTATTGTTATTTACAAAATTTGTATCCCGCCTTTCTGCCTTTGCAAGGTTGCTGCATCCTCACCAGCCGCTAAGGGACTGCAAGCCCGTGCACAACAGAGAACGACCCCCAAGCTGATCCTACAGCCCCACAGAAAAGAGGAGGCCCACTGGGCGTCATGCGTTCTACCGCCAGCAGGGGGCAGCGCCGTCTCTGACCTTCAACAGCCGGCTGGTCTCCACGCTGGTCTGCATCCCAGCCGTGCTCCCCACTGGCTTCTTCTCCGCACTCACCTGGAGATGGGAAAGGCAGGAGGTGCAAAATCTCAGGCTCCCCGCAGAAGGGTGTTTCAACCTCCCAGCCCTGCCCCCCACGTTGACCAGAAACACAGGACTCGCCCCTGACATCTGACACCACCACCACACCCCAGAATCCTTTGCAGCATTGCCTGGGCACAACCCTCAGACCCCGTGCTGCTTCCTCGACGCCTCTAAACACAGCCACTCACCACCAGGATCAGGACCCTCAGCTCGGGCCAGTGCGTCTCCGGCGCCACCTGCTGGGCGACACTGTCCTTGCCGTCGTCTCTTTCCCCCATCGTCCACTGCACAAAGCCTCCAAACATACTCCGGCAGGCGCTTCCTGAGCCTTGGCGGGCCACTTCGGAGAGCTCCCCCTCCACGCCGTACAGCTTGGCCAGGGCATAGACTGCAAGAGGAGAGTGGGTGGGGGGAGGTTGGGGGTCAAGGCTGGCAGGTTCTTAGGGGTACCCCCATGAAAGAGAGTCCCCCATTCTACAGTATGACATTCTTATCGGACCCTTCCTTCAAAGAGTGCAGTAGCATCAGTGGCTCTCCACCTCACCACCAATTTATCCTCACAACAACCCTGTACGGTGGGCTACACTAAGAATCCACCCAAGGGCCTCTTGCAGTTTCACGAGGCGAGAATGGGAGAGGCCATGTGCCATCCTACAGATAAGGTCAGAAGAGCTCTGCTGGACCAGACCAGTGAGGGTCCATCTAACCCAGCATCCTATCTCACACTATGGCCAACCAGTTCCCCCAGAGGTGCAATACCAGGGCAGAGAGGCCGAGGCCTTCCCCTGTAAGAACCTCAGAAGAGCCCTGCTGGATCAGACCAGTGAGGGTCCATCTAGTCCAGCACCCTGCCTCACACAGTGGCCAATTAGTTCCTCTGGAGGGCCAACAGCAGGGCAGAGAGGCCGAGGCCTTCATAAGAACATCAGAAGAGCCCTGCTGGATCAGACCAGGGAGGGTCCATCTAGCCCAGCATCCTGCCTCACACAGGGGCCAACCAGTCCCTCTGGAGGGCCAGCAACAGGGCAGACACGCCAAGGCCTTCCCCTCAGAAGAACCTCAGAAGAGCCCTGCTGGATCAGACCAGGGAGGGTCCATCTAGCCCAGCATCTCGTCTCACCCAGTGGCCAACCAGTCCCTCCGGAGGGCCAGCAACAGGGTAGAGAGGCCGAGGCCTTCCCCTGATAAGAACCTCAGAAGAGCCCTGCTGGATCAGACCAGGGAGGGTCCATCTAGTCCAGCCTCCCGTCTCACCCAGTGGCCAATCAGTCCCTCTGGAGGGCCAGCAACAGGGTAGAGAGGCCGAGGCCTTCCCCTGATAAGAACCTCAGAAGAGCCCTGCTGGGTCAGACCAGAGAGGGTCCATCTAGTCCAGCCTCCCGTCTCACCCAGTGGCCAACCAGTTCATCTGGAGGGCCAGCAACAGGGCAGAGAGGCCAAGGCCTTCCCTGATGTTGCCTCCTGGCACTGGTGTTCAGAGGTTAGCTGCCTCTGAAAGTGGAGGTTCCATTATGAACAAGAGGAGCAACGATTCAAGGCCCTTTAACTGAAGAATGCCTGAGAGACAACGTAGATCTCACAATTACCCAGGCAGGCGTAGCCAGCTGCCGAGGAAGCCAGCCCGGCTGCCGTCGGGAAGTTGTTCTCCGAAGCCATGTGGACCTTGCAGGCAAGACTGAGGGGAGGGGGGTCACTACTGCTGCTGCTGCCGTTGCCCCCCCGGCGCTTCCTAGCCAGTCGGCGCACTGCAAGAAAGCAAAGGTGAGGGACATGGGCAACGAGGGTGCACGGAGAGAGTGGAAACAGCCCCACAGTCACAGAAACACAGGCCTGGTTCTCATTGAGGGAGGGGCCGTGGCTCAGTGGAAGAGCCTCTGCTTGGCAAACAGAAGGTCCCCGGTTCAATCCCCGGCACCTCCAGTTAAAAGGACCCGGTGATATCAGGAAAAACTTTTTGACAGGAAGAGTTGTGCGACAGTGAAATCAGCCGCCTAGGGAGGTGGGGGGCTCCTGCTTGCTGGCCGTCTTGAAGCAGCAGCTGGACGAACCCTTGTCAGGGATGCTCTAGGCCAGTGATGGCGAACCTTTTAGAGACCGAGTGCCCAAACTGCGACCCAAAACCCACTTATTTATCGCAAAGTGCCAACACGGCAATTTAACCTGAATACTGAGGTTTTACTTTAGAAAAAATAACTCATACATTAACTCAAGATGATCCAAACAAAGTAAGGAAAGCAATCCCAAATGCTTTCATTTGCTTAAAATCAGGGCTATTTTGGGGCAGGAACGCACAGGAACGGAGTTCCGGCTGGGTCCCAAGTTGGCCACGCCCAGCAGGAACTCATTAGCATAATAGGCCACACCCAACAGCAGAAACTCATTAGGATTCACTACATTAGGGGTGTGTGGCCTAACATGCAAAGGAGTTCCTGCTACAAAAAAAGCCCTGGGTTTTGACCACAAACAAGGTAAACAGAATAAGGCGACGGCACGCGTGCCCACAGAGAGGGCTCTGAGTACCACCTCTGGCACCCGTGCCATAGGTTCGCCACCACTGCTCTAGGCTGATCCTGCATTGAGCAGGGGGCTGGACCAGATGGCCTCTAGGGACATTTCCAACTCTTGTCATGCTATGACAGGTGACTGAAAGACCTCAGCCTGAGACTTTGGAGAGCTGCTAGCAGTCTGAGGAGACAATACTGACTTTGAGGGACGGAAGGTCGGAGTCAGTACAAGGCAGCTCATGTGTGCTCATGCGTGAGGTGGAAGACGTGCGCTTCTATGCTACCGAACAGGGGTCGTTTCGTAGAAAAAGAGCTAGGGGAACTCATTAGCATAACTCATTAGCATCAGGGACCCGGTGGTGGACCTGCAAGGCCGGCGGGAGCGCGAGGAAGCCCCACCAAGGCCCTCCCTGGCCCCAGGCAGGCAGGGGTGGGGAGAGGCGGGGAGGAAGCAACTTACCCTCCCTCTTCTCCTGCCTCCTCCTGGCTGAATGAGGGCTGGAAGCGGGGAGGCCCGGGTGTCGTGCGTCGCGTCCCCCGCCCCCCGCCCCTCACCCGGGGGAACTGCGATCCCCCACGATCCCCCCCGAATCGACCTCTGCTACCAAAGCAGGTGTGGGCTCACAGAACGGGATGCTCATGGAAACAAAACAACTGCCCCACCCATGATGGCCCCGGCTAGTCCAATCTCATCAGATCTCAGAGGCTAAGCAGGGTCGGCCCTGGTTAGTCCTTGGATGGGAGACCTCCAAGGAAGTCCAGGGTCGCTACGCAGAGGCAGGCAAGGGCAGACCCCCCCCTCTGAGCGCCTCTTGCCTTGAAAACCCCATAAGTTGGCCATGAGTGTTCCCTCTAAGCTGAGTGAGCGTGAGCCAGCTCACAGTTTTTTAGCCTCCAGCTCACAGATTTCTGTCTTAGCTCAGGAAGGATGGGGCTCCAGAGCAAACTGATTTATACAGTAGCCAAATTGCTCGTTCACAACTTTAATGCCAGGAGCTCACAAAGGAGAATTTTTGCTCACAAGACTCCACAGCTTAGAGGGAACATTGGCCATGACTTGACAGCGCTGTCCACCACCCCCCGCAAAAAATTTCACAGCACACTGAAAAGTTTGTGCATTGAGAGCCAGTGTGTGTGTGTGGGGGGGAGTGTAGGACCAGGATGCGATGATGCCCCCTGGCTTCAGACCTGTGCTAAGCCCTGAAGCTCACCTCAGCCAGTCCCTCTCTCTGCCAGCCTCACCTACCTCACGGGGTTAATGTAGCGCAAAGGGGGAATTGAGAATGCTGCCCTGAGGGGTCCTTGGAAGATGGGAGGGATGAGAGAGAGGCAAGGAAGAGAGGCTGACACTAGAACCTTTCTTTCCAACATCAAAACGTTCTTTGCACAAAGGAACATTCAAACATGAGTGTCTCAACTGTAGTGCGACAGAGAAAGCAGCAGAATTTTGCACTAAAGTTAAACAAAAGTCTGCAGCCCACTTCAGGAATTCAGACACTTGGAAGAGTTAATTCCATACCTGCCATTCACAGAACCCAGGAGGAATACTCAAAATTCTACTTCGCACCAGCCAGCTCACACAAATGCCCTGTTTCTGGCCATCTTAAACCTGGCCCAAAACTCCTCCCTCCCCGTGTAAGCGAAGGTCTTCAGGATGCAGAACTCTGGCTGCAATGTATAATTTTTAGAAATTATTATTATTGGTCCTCCCCTCCTCCCAAGTTTATCCTTACAACAAACCTGCGAGGTGGGCTAAGTGACCGACCCAGAGTCACCCAGGGACTTTCACAGCGGAGGAAGGATTTGAACCCAGACCGTGAATATTTCAGCCATTCCGTCACACTGGCTCTCGGTTTTTGCCCTCCCCACCCCCCATCCCTGCCTTGCACTCACTCTCCCGCAGGCAAGACTGGAGACGGGGGTGCCCAATATCATCCTCTTTCCCGTTGAGCCAGAGGCGGTCCTCTTTGAAGTCCCGGCTGATGGCCGCTGTCGTGGTGGTTTTGAGCTGCAAAAGAAGCACAAAGCCGAAAGTCAAGACGGTAGAAATCGAGAGGCTCTCTCTTCTGGCCCCTTTTCCACCTGACTTCAGCAAGAGCACCTTTCCTGGTCAGGGAAACTCCAGCTGCAAAGAGGGCAAGAAAAATGTTAGTGCATGGATTCCACACTATGAAAAACCACCGCCGTTGCATGGTGATCCCCGAAGTCAGTGCTTATTCCAAGGGATTTTAGGGCCATGCACGGCTGGTGCTCATGGCGCAAGTCACAGAAAGAGGACTTCCCAGGGCCTCGTGAATTATGACAATTTCAAAACAAAACCCCTGAGTTTTAGCAGACCCAGCAGGGTTCAGGCTTCTTGAATCATATTTTTAAGACAATTGACGTCACTGGATTTGATCTCTTGAGCGGACCGTCCCGACACACACTGCTTAGCCCTGGATCCACGGCTGACAATCGCTCTTCTGTCCGAGTCGGCAACACTTCCTGCTCAGTTTGACAAGCAAAACAGCACATTTATTATGATCCGTTACTAACCTGATCCTGGTGCAGGGTGACACTGAGGGAGGAATTAATGGGCAAGATCAGGTCTTCGTCACGTTTTCCCCCTGGGCGAAGGATGAATATCATTAGAACGGGGGAGGGAAGCAAAACTGCAGCACCGGCCCGTTCCCTGCAACCGGATCCTCATGCTAGTTAGAGGTTCCAGAGAATCGTACGTCTCGGGGTTCGGTAGAGGTAGTCCAACCTGCTTTCTCCGTTGCAAACAGGGAGGAATTGTACAACCGCAACAAGAGAAGTCTATTACGGGCTACGCCTCAGCTATCCACCTTCTCCTGGCTTTTGATTTAATTACTTGCCTACGCATGAAATGTAAAAACTGGAGGTGGAGGAAGGGACAGAAAAACATCTAATTTACAGCCTGCATTTCAGAAGACGCCTTTTAAAATTCTCTCTGGTAAAACAATCAGCATATTAAAAATTTCGAAAGACCGTCACATCTTTAAAGCACTGTAACTTTTCTACGACAAGTGCACAACAACAGAGCAATGGACTAAGCTGTTCTTCTGCACGTCTTGGCTATTCACACTTGGCAATGCCAGGAAACTGCCCCTTCTTTGAGCACTGTATTTTTAGATTTAGCATTGCCTGCCCAAAAAAGTT